GAGTGGTTTCTGGCTGACTAGGTGGATTTGATTGAGAACCCCTGATCTTGACCAGCCTATCCATGTTAGTATTGTCCAAGCCTATGACCAAAGATACTTACGCGACGTGTGGACGCTTGGTGGAAGCACTTGGCGGAGCTCCCACGCGCTTTGGGGCGCGGGGCAGAGCCACTGGAGCCAACACCTTCTGAGACAAAGAAAGGGGCTTGCTAGGAGCTATGTTGGTGCGTTTAACCGGCGTACTCTTGGTGGGATCAAGGGTGTACACCTTGCGCAACGACGGGGACTGGAAGTGGGGGTCGAAGGCAACTTCCAGTGGAACTGGCAAATTTGTCTGGACGGCGGTGGCGGCCTTTGCAGAAAAAAACGTCACGGTTTCTGGGACGAGTTCTGGTCTGGTAACAACGTCAGATAGCGGGGTCGCAGGTGCTGCGGCTAGGTTCTGCCCACGACTGGCATCAGGGGTCGCCATCTCCGTGTGCGGCCTCTTTCTGGTCGGTGACTTGAGCACACGAGCGTCGGGGGAAGGGTTTGCAGCCGGTGCCGTTATTTTGGCCGTGTCGGGCTTCTCCTTGCTAAGAACCAAGTTCATTTCATAGTCATCGAGTTCATTGATCCCGTCCAGCGCGAGGTCAAGTTCATCCGAAAAGAGGAATGAATCGTCAAACTCTTCGGCGTTGAGAGAGTCAAACAGCGGCGGCGGAAGCACCTTTGGGGCAGCCACCGGAAGCGCTGCGGGCTTTGCTCCTTCGATCTGTCTCATCAGAGATTCCCTTGGCGTCTCTCTCAGCATCACATTGGCGACACTTCCATTCGTCCTTGTGTGGCTAGGGTTAAGGGCAGATTTGGCCACCGCAGGCAGCGCCATGATTGGCTTTGGCGTGTGCGACGGGTGTCTGAACAATTGATGCTCAACCATATCAGACTGAGGAGCCTTTAGCTTGGATACTTGGTTGAGGTAATTCTTATCGTACATGCAGTTCCCTAAGGCGTTCCCGAAACACCGCAATGCGCGCTTCAAGCCGTCCGTCATGGCTTCCTTCTTGCACTTCTCAAACGCCATCGCGCGCGATTTTGCGTTCTCGATGTGCCCGTATCCGATGTCCTCGTGGTACGTCCCGTCGCGCAACGTAATGCGCACCGTGATGGAGAGCCCCAAGTTAACTCTTCCCGAGCCGTTGTGGTCGTCTACAAAGTCCACCTGCGTGCCTTTGATCTCTGAAGACCAGCCGTTAAAACCAAAGATCTGGTTCGCAAGGTTGATCGCTTTGAACCCCTCAAGGTAGCTCACCCGGCCACCGCCCGCCGGTCTGGTGCTGATGAACTCAGGGCCAAGCTGTTTATCTAGATCGGCGCGGATGCGCTGTATCTCCTCCTCCGTGTAGGGCGTGGTTGAGCTCATGAGTCTGCTTTCAACCTGTTTTCGCTTTTGAGTGGCTGATGGTGACTGTCTACCGTGTTAGACTGGTTTAATTGCGTGCGAGATAGGTTGCGTATCAAAAGGGTCCAAAGTGTGTATCTAGCTACTTAATACGGATATGCGCTTCAAATTGCGAGTGGCAAAACCAACGCGCGCTTGGAAAAAAAAACATCGAAAATGAAAAAAAGCGATGGCGTTTGTTTACCTTTCGTGTTGAAAAAAAAGACGTGGCTATACCAGGTCGTGTCCTACCGGTCGTGCCATACCAACCGGCTCTAAAAACTGTGCCGCAACGCTTCAGAAAAAAATACACAACCTACTGATCCCAGTACTTACCAGTTGCCAGCAAAACCCAGCCCAAGCCTCTACCCTTCAGTTGTGCTCTTGATACAGCCGCTTTGATCTAAGCGAGAACCACACACCGGGAATTCATATACAATTGCTCCGTCCCCAGCAATGTCGTTTCCGCCACAGAACCCGACCTTCCGCACTGGCTCCGTCGCTTCGGTGTCGTCCAACGCCACAGTGGTCCCGGCGCCAAAGAAACAGAAGCCATACTACTACCACCAGTTGTTCAACAAGGTTTTGAGGCAGAGATTGCGATACTTTGACCGTGTGTCGGTGGTGTTGGCGCTCGTTGTCAGTTTGCTCCTCAACCTCCCCACCGGCGGCTTCTGGTCGTACTTGCTCCTCGTGCCCGTGAAAACCGCGGCGTTATGGTTGGGCTTCCACCTCATCAAGTCCTCCCGCGAGATCCACGTGCGTGTGGACTACATGCCGTACAAGACGCTAGCCGGCCGCCTTTCCGGCGAGCTTTTGAATTGGAACTTTGTTTCCGTGATCATTGGCTTTGCCATCTCTTCCTGCATATACTACTTGTTCGTCTACTTGTCCTTCGATAGCTTCCCGTTGGCCATCGAGACCAAGACCCGAGGTAAGGCCTTGGTCAACGACGAGTTGGTCTATTACATGTTCTTTGTGGGGTTCAGCTCGGTCGTCTACTCCGCCAGACACGTCGCCTTGGACTTGAACAGACTCCGGTTCAAGTACGCCGTCGCCCGCGTCAATCCCCAGTCGGTCTATATGGACCAATGGGGCAAGTTTTTGCGCAACGCGGTGGTTATCTCAACGGTCACCACCTTCATGGCTCCAGTGGTCTACTTCTTTACCAGATTCCTCATCTACCGCACCTCGCTTGTTCCATTACTTGTCTTGGGCTACAGCACCGCCATTCCACCCTTCAAAATCTCCTTTGGTTTGTTTACCAGACTTTTCGCCAACAGCGTCATATTGACCTTTTGCTGGGAGTTGTTGAACCACTTCTTTAACGTGTACGCCCAGGTTGGCTGTCTTGACGGGAAAAAGCCATTGAGCACCTTCTCCAACGACCCTATCAACACCTTGTTGACGGGGTTGCGCGATAAGAACGCCTTGGTGCGTTTGACCGCGTTCCAGGAGTTGGCCTTCTTGGCCACCGCCGAAGACCGAAAGTTGAGAGAGCCGTTCTATATCGCCCACAACAAATCTAACTATGTCTGGTTGGCTATTTTGCAGGAATGCTCCGCGGTTGTCAAGGAAACGTGCAAGAGCATTACCAGCAGGCCCAAGGTGCCAGAGATCCAGACCACGGACACCTTCGAGAAGACCTCGCCTGCCAGTATCTTTGGCAATGCCAAGCCAGCCTCTACGAATTCCGTGCTTGATTCGCTAAACGTCGACCTCCGCTCTCGTTCCGTGACTCCGCCAACCGCCAACAGAGACTTTTACGTGCGCCAGCCAACCAAGACCAGGTCAGAACAATTGAAGGAAAGCTTACAGAGGATCAAGGAGGAAGACCTCTCGCCAGCGCAGTCCTTCCTCAAGTCGGCCTACACCCAGGCCCAGGCTCTCTACACCACCTACTACAAGAACTTCCTCCACACGGCCGTCGGGTATCCCTTCCGTCAGACGGTGACCCTCGATGTTGAATCACGTGTCGTGAACGCCACTAACTTTGGTAATGCGCTCATTGCAATGTCCTACCTCACGTGGAATGCGCTTGACGAAGACTCCCAGGGGATTGTCAGCGGTTCCTTGACCGACGTGCTTGTGTTGTTGGAGAAAGCCATCTCTGCCTGTGCCGAGTATGTCGATCATCCGCCAAAGAACCTTTACAAACCACTCTCAGGCGATGTTCAGGCCACCGGTATGGCTGTGCTCCACGATTTAGCCATGGAGTGTTTCTTCCAGTTGACCGTCAAGTACAACGAATATCTTAATGACTTGTTGTTGCCTCCTGACGTGTTCCGGTTGGCCAAACTCACCATTGATAATGCTATCGCCGACCAGCAACAGCAGATGCGCGAAAAAGCTGCGGCCGGCGATCTCACCATGGAGATTTAAGAACCCCTTCTCATTTGTATATTAACCCGACTATATTAGTTTCTTTCTGTGTGACACGTTTCACATTAATTTATTAGACTCCTATTATACAAGCTTGTAGGCGAATTTATGGGGTGGCATAGGATAGGGATCAGTTTCTGTATATCTAAAGCTTAAGCACTGATCCAGCCTTCTGGGGCCAGGTAATGCCACAAGACTAGATGTCGGGGTGCTGTCAGACAGATAGGAAAGCGCGAGCAGAAAACTCAGGCGCTCAAGATTTCTTCGTTATGGACCGCCCCATACGTGGTGTAGGACACCACCTTTTGGCCGAAGGAAACGCGTTTGCGGTTTGGTGGTTTGATGCACACGTGGTGAAAATAGGTTCCGTACTGGAAGTAGCTCAAGATGGACGAATCTCTTCTGCCAACACTGGTGGCATGTTTAACCAAGACGCTTTTGGGGCAAGATTGGCTTCTAGTCCGTGGAAGGAAGGGCACCGGCGGGGAGCTGTCGTAATCGATGACAGCGCTAGTTGGAATATGGCATACGTTTATGGTTGCAAAATTGTCGCATGCCGGTAGTTGTACATCGATACACTTCGGTAAAGAGGTGGTTCCCTCGGGAGCAAATAAGCCCCCTTCAGAGTTTATTCGGCTTTCTGATTTTTGTCTCGATGTATGTGTCACGGCGAGCGTAATGACGAGAAGGGTAATTCCTATAAGAGACGAAATGCACAAACTGCTCTTTGGAATGTTCTGCAGAAGGTTACTTGAAAATGACTTACCGTCGCTATTTCGCGTCATGCTGGCGAGGGCAAGAGCATAGCCTATGAATTCCACGCCTAGCACACCATATAATGGACGAAGGTTCACGCTTGGGGATAGATCAGAACCTCTGAGGGTTTTCATGAAATACTCTCCTTGAGCCACATACCCCAAGATGTTGGAAATACATTTAGCGGTTCCCATAATCTCTATCGCTTCAAGGAGCAGAGTACTTCTTTGCGCCCTTATTATTAGGATGAGAAGAGCCACAAGCGTTACAACTTTGAGATGGAAAGGCTCGGGATTGCTTTCCATAAGGGTGGAATCATGGTCGGATCTCTTGCGGTGTATCAAATAGCGGAAGAGCCAAGCACAACTAGTGACGCTGCCTCCAACGGCAAACACTAAGTCGTAGGAATATAGGAAGGATGTGGAATGATGCGTTTGCTTATAGCTATGGGGCATGTGGTAGTTGAAGAGTAAGCACGCGATAAATGTAGTGTAGCATGCGGAACCCAAGACATTGAAAGCAATTGAACATGGAACAGTCGGAAGTTGGGTGTGCAGTCTACTGTATTGGTCATATTTTGGTTTGTTGGCATAAAACTGGAAAAAGTAGTAGGCACTCTGTGACGTTAGAATTAATTCGAGCTCGCTGCATGTGAGATATTTACCAATAGTAGGGAGTAGCTCCAACCACATACCACAGGTACCACTTGGGTGGACATTTGTAGGGGTACTATGGATATAGGATGGAAGCAGAGTGAAGAGTAAAGATAACTTCTGGCAGTTCGTATTCCGGGGTCCTGGATATATATACCTGCGGTAATTTCCGCTTTACGGCGTTCATGCGACTTTAATTTATTTGTCTTATACAAAGGCCTATTTTTTTCTTAGCGATAAAGGCTATACGAAGACTGTGAAACATGCTGAACGAAGAGGGACCTAACGTGTAGGGGGCTTGCCAGGGTAAGTCGCTGAGCGAAGAAATAGTCACGTACATCCGTTAAAGCAGTTCCCAGGAGGCGGGGAAGGAGATTGCAACCTAACAGAGACAGGAGGCACCTGCATGACAGACGATTTTCTCTACCTGCCAATATACATACGTGTATACCGTACCAACAGAGACAATAGGATATCGCGGTCTTTTTTTGTGTGTGTGTGTGCTAGTGGGACCTCGTTGGTAAAATAACGAGGCTGGGGATGAACGTGAAACTTTGTCGGACTGGGGCCGCGATTCTCGCACCGGACAAAGACGTAGGCACATTCGGCGCATCCTTCTGTGCGTGTAATATGCGCACTCTAAGCTGAAAGCGGAAATATTCTCCCCGATAAGAGTGTCGGAAACTATATGCCTTGACGACGCAACTTTTAATCTCTATTGGTCTATTCTCGCGTCAAGAGATTGAGGCCTAGATCACTCAAAAGACCTACCATCGGATGGTTAAGTTGCTCTCTAAACCCGACCAATCTCATTATCCTGGGTGTATCTGAGGGACATAATTATGCGGCTTAAACTCACGTAGTACCGCCGACAGAAATAGCGTACATGGTTGAGGTAGCAAGATGCGTGTAATATCAGTAATGATATTGATGTTCATAATATATCATAATGCAATGAGTTATAGCAAATTTTATATCATTGAAAATATTTTGACCGGTTAATTTTTATTAATATATATCAGGTGCTAATATTGATATTATATAACGATTAAGCTGCCGTTATATATTCTCATAACATTTTAATACACATTTAGGTGAAAATCACCCATTAACCAGATAGTAATACTTACATACACATTTAAATTCTTCGAGATATCAATAATATCCTTGCTCATCTATATTCAAACTCTACAAGATATCGGTATTTACGCCAACACTTGTGCTTCATTGTATATCCTGCATGTGAACTCCTTGGAAAAAGTCACGTGAAATCATTGAATCAGGCCAGAGATTCCCCACGAACCGCGCCATTATATATCATCACCTTCTGTACCCACTAAATTCTTTCAGGCGCACCAAAGCCCTCCTTATTTTCACCGCGCCTTCCTAAAATGCTCCTGAATACTTCTAGAACCATCTGCAGATTGTCCTCGGGCCGTCGCTTTGTGGCGCAGTACATCCCTAACGACTTCAAGCCGCCATTCATCCCGTTGACCTCTGAATCCGGCTTCGCTGGGGCCGTGGGTAACACCCCATTGCTCAAGTTGAACAAGCTCTCTCAAGAAACCGGCAGAAATATCTATGCCAAGGCTGAATTCATGAACCCAGGTGGTTCCATCAAGGACAGAGCTGCGTTGTTCATTGTAGAGGACGCGGAACGCAAGGGCTTGATTGCTCCGGGCGGTACCATTGTCGAGGGGACCGCGGGAAACACTGGGATTGGATTGGCTCACATTGCCCGTGCCAAGGGATACAAATGTGTGATCTATATGCCAAATACCCAGGCTCCTTCCAAGATGGATTTGTTGCGTTTGTTGGGTGCAGAGGTGAACCCCGTGCCAGTGGTGCCGTTTACCGACCCAATGAACTTCAACCACCAGGCCAAGAGACACGCCGAGTCGTTGGACAACGCTGTCTGGACCAACCAGTTCGACAACTTGGCGAACAGACAGGCGCACATCGAGTCTACCGGGCCGGAGATCTGGGCCCAGTTGGACGGTCAGGTTGACGGCTTCACCTGTTCCACTGGTACCGGAGGCACCTTTGCTGGTGTCACCAGGTACCTAAAGGATATCTCCGCTGGGAAGACACAGTGTGTGCTTGCTGATCCACCAGGGTCTGTTGTGCACTCTTACATCCAGTCTAATGGCGAGGCTCTTGACAGATCTGGTGGCTCCTTCACCGAGGGGATTGGCCAGGGCCGTATTACTAACAACTTGGCCCAGGACATTGGCTTGATCGACTACTCCATCAAGATCCCGGACGCTGAGAGCATCAAGATGGTGTACAGGTTGTTGGACGAGGAGGGATTGTACGTTGGCGGTACCGGAGCCTTGAACGTGGTTGCTGCCGTTGAGGTGGCGAAGAACTTGCCAGAGGGCTCTAACGTGGTGACCTTGTTGGCCGACTCTGCCCACAAGTATGCCGAGAGAATTTTCAGCAAGAAGTGGTTGATCGAAAAAGGATTGTACGAGCACATTCCAAAGGAGTTGCAGAAGTATGCGATTCTTGCGTAAGTAATGTGTCCTTGTATATAGGAAAGTACAACAAAATGGTTAGATAACCAGAGATATAACCGAAGGACAAATTTAGTTTAAATTCCAAACTTCATCTTATCGGAGCATTGCCAGTAATTTTCAACTTAGCTTGAAAGAACACTAATATGCTATTCGCAAATTATGTACATATTCGAGCTCTCTCGAGCCATTTGGCCAAGATAATTGTCAATACGGCATAGAGCTTTTGAATAGGAAGCCAATTAGCCATACAGTTTGGTAGATTACCCCGTTACATCATTAAGAAAAGCGCACCTAGAACCTCAGAAACAGCATTCTTACTAGTCCTACAGATATAATACAAATAAAATGGGAGTGAAATCAAAATCTAAGAGTCAGCCTCATGGTCAACCACAAGTCCTTCTACGTGTTGATATACGCCTTGTTCAAGGATGTAATCTCTCGACACAAGACAAACCAGTCAACCTGTCTCAACCACTCCACCTCCTTCTCGACAAGTGCCATTTTAGACAAACTCACGTTACTAGCAGCTGCTGACGATGGCAAGGAGCTCAACGTGTCCAACCGCTGGTGCTTCTTCGAATTTCCCTCCATCACATGCACCATCAGTGGCGGAGGCGACACCACAAACAGCGGTATCGGCGACATCGCATCTACGCCACATCTAAGCGAGATGGTTGACGCCTGAGAGGCGAGGGAGGACATACTCGGATTCTTCTTCAACGGTTTCTTGCGAGCCTGGGTTTCTTCCCACTTGAACATTTCGTAGAAGAAGCGGAGGTTCGGCTGGATGATCACATTCAACCGGCGAACGCGCACGTACATATACGCCCGTGGAAGGTCAATCCCCATTCGGGTCATCACCTCTGCAATAACTACCGATGCAGACCGTGATACGCCCACTCTGCAATGAACCAACACTTTTTCTTTAATTTTGAACGCCTCGCGATCAATGAATCCCAATGCCTGGCTCATTACGGGCGCTAAGGTATCGATTCCATCGTCTTGAAGGTCGTCAATCTTCATCACTTTGGATATAGAATGGTCATTGGCGATGTTAAGGATATTGACCGTGTCTAAAGTTGTGGAAGTCACCACTACATCATCTTCTTCCTCCATCCAGGGAAGCTTTTCGCCTATGGAAATGATTTTGGTGATGCCCATTTCCCGCAAGAGTGTCAAATTCAGTGCATGCTTGAGGCTGCCCAAGTACAAGTGCGGTAGGATTCTCGATGGTAACGTCCCATCACAGTCTCTAAGCCAGTCGTAGCCGTCATTATCGCTAAGCGCAACCACACTCTGGCCCACGAGCTCTTCCATTTCCACAGGCTCAAATGTAAACCCGTCAACCTTTCTAAACACAGGAGAGTATTTGCGGAACAACGGTTCCACTTTGATGAGGAATTCCTGGTCCGACGGAAAGATAAAGAAAGGGCGGCCGTACTCGTTATGGAGCCGCATCAATGTCTCCCCATAGCCGAGCCCTTGTCCGTACATTGTCAAACAGATTGTAAGGAACGAGTTCTCGGTGTACCCGTCAGAGGAATAAAGCAAGAGAGGGATGCCATGGGTCAGCGCAAAGAACAATACCTTACACAAGTTCATAATCGAGGAGACAATTTCCTGGGTACAGCTGCCCAAACGGAACGCACCCGAGCACGCAAAGTTGAGAACGAACGGCTCGTAGGCTACCTCGGGGCTCTTCACAATTCTTTCAAGCTTCTCCATTAGAGCGGAGACGTAATCAGCATGGGGAACCCCACCGTTTTCATGGCACTTGACAAAGATCCGCCATTTCTCACGAGGCGGTGTTGAGAGCACATAGTGGGGGTGCACCGTTGGGTCTTTTAACTGGGCAGCCAAATTCTGCGGGTTGAGACCCATCAACGAAAAGCTGGGATCACAATAACGAGGAATAGCTACATCCTCATCAATATCCATATGGTCGCGGTGCAAGGGCTCGAAGGTGTCGCACTGGGTATTGTGCCAGTCTAGGGTGTTTCCAACCCAGACGTGATCGAAAAGCCGGGTAGCGGAGCTCATCTTGGCAATCTCAAGTCTTTCCTTCAAGAGATAGTTTACATCCCAGCTTTGAAACGAGGCGAGGTCCGAGGGGGAAGAAATGCACTCGGGATCGGTATTAGCGGAATCGGCTGATAGCGGACGGAGAGCAAAGTACTTCAGCTGGTCTATATGCAACCGACTTGGCGCAAGAACACTGCCGGTAGATACTTCAATGACGGAACTTTCGGCTTTTGGAGACATGTCAGGGAAGAGAGGAGTTGTAGGGGCACTGTGATCGGGTTTAACCGGAGCGCTTTCGGCCTGGGCTAAACTGGCTGGGATTGCAGAGCTCTCATTTTCACCTGGTATCGTAATATTGCCATAGAAGGTTCTCCTGGGGGATATTTTGGTTGCCTCTCTTAAACCCTTGGTGTGCTGCAAAAGGTATGTGTTATAAAACTTCTCGTCACCCTCGCCAAAATCTTTGTGGTACTTCATCTGGGCCATGTTTACAACCCGTGCAAGCGACTCACAACGGCAATTCTCTCCGCTCCTATCTGCATGGTCGTCATTAAAGCAGTATACGACAATGTCAGCTACCTGGCTGACCTTGTTACTCTGGATGTGGTAGTTACGTAGGGTAATGCCCGCAGGAGGGTCCATGACACGGAATAGCGGCTTACATTTGAGCTTGACGCAGTCCTTGTACAACCGCTCCTTCAAGTCAGAGGTATCGTGATGCTTTTTAGCGTACAAGTCATCAACCAAGTCATTCACCAAGCACCGGAGATCCTCTCTGCAAATGTTTAGCTTTTTCATGATCTCCTCCAGGTCAACTGAGTTCTTCAACTGGGCAGAATCATCAAGAAGGCCTGGCACCTTGGCTGAACGGAGGGTCATGAGCATTCTGACCCGGGGAGCAACCGGCGGCAGCTGGGTGCTGGTGAAAAACCGGATCTGGGTCAAGTTTGCGTGGTGGAGGCCGTGGAGCCAAGGAAACATCGTCTGTACCGACGGGAGTTCGTGGCTAAAATACCAGTCGAGGGCTTGCTCAAAGCGGGGGACTGTAAGGAGCTTGATATCTGCATCACCATAACTGGCGGTCTCGGAGAATAACGAGGTGTGAGAGCGAAATTCCGAAGAGTCGATAGCAAAAGGGTTTTCCGCTTCTTCCTCTTCCTTTTTGCAGAGATAGCTGGGAGTACCCTCTTCCTCGAAGGAAACGGTATCATCGTCGACAGCACTAGGGACTACTTCGAGGTCAAAGGCAGGGGAGAACCGGGACCTGAAGCGGTCTCGTTCGTAGAGCTGGTCGTTTGATACCGAACTAGCACGTTTGATGCTCTTACGGGCCTTTGACTTTGTGACAGAAGGCCCCGGAAGCTCCATGACGGGGGCTATGAGTGGTTCGGAGATATCCGATTTTGGCGAAAGCGTTCTAGGATCGGCTTTTGGCGAAACAACAAACATGGTGCGAATGCTGAAAAAGGGATAAAAAGAGTTGGAGGGAGATTTAAATGAGGGGATGGCCGAGAAATGATGAGAGTATGGGGGAGGACTGATGTGAGAGGAAAACGCAGCTCAAGAGGTTATTTCGGAAATCCGGTTTGTTTCAAGCTTAACACTGTGGGATCTCCAGTTGGGCGGAGAAACAAGGGTGGTGATAACAGGAACTGACAGGATATCGATAACGGGCGAGAAATTTTGGCGCGTGCGGAGAAAAACAAAAACTCCCTAAACACCGGCTAAGTTTGACAGGTGTGTAAGGAATAGTGACTAGGGTCAGCGTGAGCAAAACTAATACGGCACAAGAGAGAGGGAAAGAAAGAGATACGGCAGGTTTTTGATTGAGTCGCCAAAGTTGAGATAAGCTTTAAAGCTAAACAATTTGTATCAAGATAGCGTTCAAGATAGCGTTCAAGAGCAAGGTTGGGGGTGGGGAAGGCTTTGCGGCCGTGCCATTTCGCGCACGCACATGAAACTGCGAGTGCATGTAGGCTACCTATTTGAGACGGGATTTGGCCGGCGGTAGCGCCGTGACTCTAGCCGCATGGTTTTTTTTAGGGGGGAGTAAATATGGCTTTGGTCAGGTACAAGCCACATAGGGAGTGACTGGGGGCTTTTCGAGAGTAATTAATTTATAAAACGGTGAAAAGTGATTTGCTGTGGGCTTAGGGTAGAAATGCAGAGTGGTCCAGGGTAGGCATGGTTCATGGAAAAGAGTTAGCGGGTTTGTCACAGACAAATTTCGACGATATCATTGTTAGAGGGGTCATGTCTTTTAGACCCCAACTGGTTACATCATAAGGTGACACTGGATTTTCAAGACTTAGGTTAATTTAATCGGAGTGAAAACTTGTACGGCGATGCACATCAGCTACTAGGGGTGGTCTTTAGTCCATAATGTAGCTTCGTAGAAATATATTAAGCGCCTGAAGATGTTCTATTTTAAGTGTAAAACAGCATTTGAATAGTGGTTCGCCCGGTTGGTCGACCAAAGGCTGTGGACTTATGAGTTTAGCCGTCCCATTCCTGTATATCAAATTACTTATACAGCGTTTCTATCCGACCCAAGACTTTTGTTCCGAGTCAGATCGGATAACCCATATTTCGTTAAGGCAGCTTCCATCTAACCAGAGAGGAATATACTGTGTGACAACGTTGGTGACCAAAATTCGCCTAAATAGATTTATCAAGGGACCCCGAGATTTTTGTCCCTCACAGAGGCTCATTTGGCTTCATCTCCGTCATCATGAACGTCTCGTCGGTGTGGGGCAGAATCTGGTCAAAATACCCCGCCATGCCTCCCGCTGCAGGGGTATGGATACTCCCACTCTCATGCTGGCCTAGCTCCACGTGTTGTAAACCCATCGGCTCTGTTTCGTAGTCATCAGGGGATAGCACGCGGAGAAACTCAATAAAGTCCTGGATATACTCACCAAAGTACAGTTCATCCGTTCCCTGTGCCTCCTGTTTTACGCTGATCCGCAAATACAATCCGGGGACCCGGTTAATGAGCCAAAGCGCCATAAAGGTCACGCAAAATACATAGCCCACGGTGGCAGCACATGACGCCAACTGGTATGCGAGCTGGAGGTAGTGGCGGTCGATCCAGCCGCCCGCAATACCACCGGCGATATCTGCCACTCCATTGAGTCGCGCAACGCGTTTGCTGGCAAAGATACCGGTGAGCAAGCTTCCCAAAAGGCCTCCAACTCCGTGGATAGCAAAAATGTCGAGGGTGTCATCGATTCGCATCCAGAATTTGATGCGGGTGGCAAAATTGCAGACCAACCCACCGAGAATGCCAAAAATAAAGCTCAGCCAGAAGTTGATGTACCCCGCGGCAGGGGTCACCACAACAAGCCCTGAAATAAGCCCCGAGCAGAATCCCACTATCGAAAGCTTTCCACTAATAATATAGTCGATGGTGAGCCATGTCGCACCCGCTACACACCCACTATTGAGTAAGTTGATCACCAGCATGAGTGTCTGCAAGGAGATGTTGAACGAGCAGCCACCGACAAAGCCCGTCCAGCCGATAATGCAGAAAATGGTTCCAATCGTGAGAAAACCGGTGCTGGAGCTGCGGTAATGCGTGAGCGTGTCCGTGGCTCGCGGCCCGAGCATGTACGAATAGGTGAACGCTACGACCCCCGACATGGTGTGGACCGGATTACCACCCGCAAAATCAAGCGCCTGGAGGCGTTTCAACCAGCCGTTCGCGTTCCAATACCAGTAGACCACGGGGTTGTAGATGACAATTGCCCAGACGATCACAAATACCACCAACGGGAGGAGCCGGCCGCGCTCGGCCACGACTGGAAACGTAACAGACGCGGTGGTGAGCTTGAAGAGGAGTGTGAAGAGCGCGTGGCTGTAGGCATGCACCGTTCCACCAAACAGCGCGTCTGCCACGGAGTTGCTATTGGGGTTGAAGAATCTGTTTTCCATGTGACGGAAGCAGGAAAAGTAGAAATTCCCAATAAAGTGCAGGTTGTTGTTGGTGGAGTACAGGAGCGTGTAGCCCATGACAAACCATTCCACCGCAATGATTGGAAATATAAGCCATGGGAGCGCGAGCATTGTGAGTGCGGACCTGCGTTGCGTGAGCCCCGAGTAGAAGAGTGAGAGTCCGAACACCATGAGCATCACGAGGACCGTGCATAGGAGCATGAATACCATGTTTATTGTGGTCTCGGTGGAGAGCTGGGGGGATTGGCCCAAACTTAGAGAGACTATCTTTGACATGGAAAATAACAGATAGTGGAGAGAAATGAGTGGAGAGAAATGAGTGGAGAGAAGTAAGTGGGGAAGAGTGGAGAAAAGTAGAGAAATAAGTGAGGAGAAGTAAATGGAGAGAAATGAATATGGTGGGATGACGGTGAATGTATGCTCTTTTTCAGTGACTGAATTGGATGATGGAAGTGAGACCTGTTACTCTGTCAGGTATTGGATTAAAGCCTCTAGCGCGTACTAATAAGATTGTAGTTTAGAACTTTAGAGATGGCTTACCTATAAGCAGGTTTTGTGTGAACCGTTCGCGTGTGTAGCCGGTTTCGGATGCTATGGCCTAAGCAATACAACCTGGTGGTTTTAATGTAGAGTTGCAAGATGGAGTGGAAAGATGGAACTGAAAGGTGGAGTTGAAATTTCCCCACCGCACTTAATATCTGTCAGTTACAGGCAACTGCTTACCAAGGAAATGAAAAATATCTGATGCATCATGCAACAGCATGTGACCGCATTAGTCCTATCGGGCCTATCGTCGGCGCGCGGGCAGAGATTAGGTCCGGGTACGCCGTTGATACATAGTCCCTCTGAGAGCATTGGGGGTGGTTAGACGGATATATATCTCAAAATTTTTAGTAGCAAGCACTTTATCTGCCTCATCTAAGCTTTACTAAAATGGATATCTGCAAAGTGAGCCGTTAGACTTATGGTTCTGTAAACCCAGGCTGAATCCATCATGGGATGTCAGCTTAAGGTCTAGAGACTTTGTCTACTATACAGCCTAAACAGAAACTTTTGAGTTATGTTACACGGGTTAGAAACTTTGGGGTTTTATTTCGGCCCTGCCATTCTCGTATATTACATTCTTAAGCTCTTTCAAGAGAAAGATTACGCTAGGCCGGACGACTTGAATTGAGAATATTGTGAAATGGCATACTTAAAGCCAAGGACAGCTGAACGCGAGGATGTCATCTAACCATGCCTGTGCACAGTTTGGGAGATCCAAGGAAGCATCATAACAATCCAGCTACGGTTTCTGTCTGCTTGATGTTAGTTATGCAAGCTCAGTTGACGGGCAAGCAAGAAAAATCGAGTAAGGTTCTAATCCATTCTTTATTAGACACTAGATCCCGCCCATAGTACATGTACTCAGGATGTTCCCGGCAGGCGTGCGCTCTGGGTTATGTTTTGCAATAAAGTATTGAGAAAAAAGTATACTATTTCGTGATTGGGGTTAGGTGAGATTGCCATACACCTTTAATATTTATTTTAAAATGGACTTGTTTCGAAGCTCAGACAACAGCAAACACATTGAAACGGCACAGACCCCAAAATATGTCATACCGCTTGAAAACCGAATAAATGACTCATTTACAAGTAATGTCACGGCTGAGACCGCCACCAACCACGGTATACCACTTGAAAACCCAAATGACTCATTTGCGAGTGATATCACAGCTGGAATTGCCACTAATCGCACTTTTATAGTGTAGTGCCCTAACGACCAACCTGTCATAAGTTAGAATCCAAATGACCTGTCACAGGTCAGAACCCATTTGTAAACACAATGGTGGCGTCCTTGCGTGTAACCCAAAATACGTGACTCATATAGTCATTCACAAACAATGTATTCCTCTAGCTTTAGATCATCAGATGTCAGTCACCTCCTACGCTTATCGGACTTTTTCCCATGACGTTTACCCCACGAGCCATTCTTAGCCCACGCTCGATGCGGCAATTACTTGCACTGTCCACAGTGTTTACTTCTCCTGCACAGAACTGGAAAACGATCGAAGCGTCCACTATTGTGCGGTAGACGCACGCCGAAAAACTTTTTAACGCTGGCCGTGACCGTAGATCGGTAGAAAAGACAGAGGCTCGTTTTGCCGTCAAAAGGTGGTTACACAAGTCGAGATATTAGTTACCCGTACACGCCACATAGACCTAGACCCTACTGCATTCAACTCTCAGTAATATGGAACAGCAAATTCAACAAGCCGTTGAAATTGCGTTGAGTGGTACCTCCGATCCCGCCTTAAAGAACCAGGTATGTATCTAGCAATCAAAGAGAGAAGAAATGGCAAATGCGGAGGATGAAAGATAGATAAAGATGCCAGGCTCACAAGGCTACGTCCAAAAATATTCCCAGTCAACAGATCCCAATATTTCACCGAAAAAAGACTGCAGAATCAGGATTATGAGAGGTGTTTCCACAGAGGTTACAAGAAACCTGTTTACAAGATATCAACGTCAGTGCTCATATGAACAAACGGTGCGCTAGCCTAAGTGAAACCCCAACCATATGTCTATGAAAGTGATTGTTATCTTGGCCCTACCCTCCAATCTTGTATCCTACACGTTGCATGATCCATGTCAACCCATCAGTATTTCAAATGACACGTCTTCAAGCATCATTTTTCACACCTCAACCTTTGTCAGTTGTCGTATAAAATTCTCTGGCTTGTGTTCTACCAAACGGTGTCTCACGTATCTTATCAAATTCTACCAGTCTTTTTGTCATCATACTCTGTTTGTCTGATGTCGGCATGGAAATCTACCCATCAGACCTCTCTCTTCTTCTCCCCCCTCTTTCCTTCACATACTAACCTATAGGCCATCGATTTTATCAACCAGATCAAAAACTCGCCCGAAGGCTATGCAGCCTCCATCAATCTCCTCACAGACGACCGGCTTGCGGAACAAACCAAGTTCTTCGTTCTCCAGGTCATCGAGGACCATATCCCCAGCTTGACAAATGAAGAAAAGTTCGAACTCAACAAGGCACTCTTCGAGCACCTCGCACATTTGCTCGTGACTAACAAGAACGACCCTGTATATATGAAGAACAAGCTCGCGGCCATCTTCGGGACGCTCTTCTGTTCCGTCTACATCAACATCTACCCCAACTTCCTCAAGGACTTGTTAGGTTTGACCACGACAGCCAACCCAGACCTCGCGACGGACTACTATCTCCGCACGTTGGGCAGCATCCACAGCGAGATCGCAGACAAGTTCATCACGCGTGAACGCGCAGTCATGGATCGCAACAACAACTTGAAGGATGCGATCCGCTTGAACGACATGACTAACCTTACGGAGTCATGGAAGCGCATTCTCCAGCAGTATGGCGCGGCGTCGCCTTCCGCACTCACGCGCGACATCCTCAACAACACACTCCGCAACATCGGAAACTACATTAACTGGATCGAAATCTCGCTTGTCATACAGGAGGACTACGTACGTCTCATCCTTCAATTCCTCCTGAAGCCGGAGCACCAGCTCGACACGTGCGCGACCCTCAGCGAGATTATATCCAAGAAGATGAAACCGCAGAACAAGCTCGAGCTTCTCGGGCTCCTCAACCTCACTGCATTGATCGCGTCCATGGACCTTGTGGCCTGCGACACTGAGTTCGTCGAGCATGTGGCGCGGCTTGTCAACGCCATCGGCTGCGAGCTCGTGCTCGTGTTGGACGACGATGCGTCGTCGCCTGAGCTCAAGGCACAGGCGAACCAGCAGTTGCTCCAGCTCTGGCCCGTCGTCTTGGGTCTCTTGTCGCACGAGTACGACGATGTCTCGCAGCAGGTGTTTCCGTTCGTGTCGAGCTACCTTCTTGCGTTGAAGCGGTGCAAACACTTGATCTCGCACGACCTTCTCTCGACCTTGCTCAGCACCATCATCATGAAGATGAAGTACGATGAGGATGAAGACGGCACGGATGAGGAGGCCAACGAGGTCTTTGCCGAGGTCAGACGCAACTTGAAAACGTTCCAGGATGCCATCGCAGTGCTCTCCCCGGAGTTATATGTCGAGGCCATTGCCGTGGTGATCAACGAATCGGTCTTCAACGATGCGAACGCAAAGGACTGGCGTAAGATTGAGTTGGGGATCTTTGAGCTAGCCAACTACTCCGACAGCTTGCGCGCCAACCTCTTGAGCTTGCCCAAACAGGAGATCGTGGCGTCCAAGCCGTATGCCATCTTCCAGGAGTTCCTCGTTAAGGTAATCAACCTCGATATTCACAAGTTGAACCACCCGTTGATCCAGTCCATCTTCTTCGAACTCATCGTGCGCCACTACTCTTTCTTCAACAACCTGGAAATGAAGGCTGCCTTGACAAACCGGGTGTTGGAGTTGTTCACATCACAGTTGGGCTTGTTCAGTAACGACACAAAGGTCCAGTACCGTTGCTGGTACCTCTTCTTCCGGTTCGTGAAGCTCACAAAGCCATCGCTTGCGCAGCCGGTGATCGAAGGTCTAGTTCAGCAGCTCACCGGCAGCTTGTTGGTGATCCGCGCACTGGTGCCGTACAAGCCCGCGGAGGGTGAGCTGGAGCATGACGACGACATTGTGGACGACAACTTCGACAACCAGTTGCACCTCTTTGAAGCCATCGGGATGCTTGTGTCGCTCATGGACAACCTGAACGTGCCGTTCAAGGCCAAGATGGTTGAGCGGGTCCTTTCGCCTTTGTTCAGCGACGTACAGCGATGCATCGGCCAGCCATCGCAGCTCAATCTCTACCAGGCGCACCACTTGCTCATGGCGGTGGGGACGTTTGCACGGGGCTTTGCGTGGGAAAGTAACGCCAAGTTCGACGACGCACTCGTGGCACCGTTCAACGACGCGTGCCAGGTGGTGCTTGTGACGTTGGAGAGCTTCCACAAGCACGAGATTATCCGCGACGCGTCTCGCTTCGCGTTCGCGCGTTTCATCCCGATTGTCAAGACCGGCGTCCAGTTGCACTTGGCAAAGCTCGTGGCCCTGATCTTGCTGAGTGACCTCCGCTATAGCGAGTTGAGCGACTTCTTGAGCTTTGTGGGCCAGATTGTGCACACGTTCAACAAGCACGCAAACATCTACCAGTTACTCAATGACCTCTGCACGCCGTTGATCAACAAGGTGTTTGCCATGGTGAACAGCCAGAACGACGCCACCAGGCCAGACATTATTCGCGACAAGATCGTGTTGAAGAAGGCCTACCTTACGTTTTTGGCATGCTTGACCCAAAACAACGTCACCAGCTTGTTGATAACTGAGACAAACAAGAACACGTTTCCGGTGATCTTGGAAGGCTTGTTGGCGTACGCATACGACGTCAGCGAGCCCCAGGTGTCGAAAATGGCCATTGTGGAGTTAATGAACATCGTTACGGTCTTGGGGACCGGTGCGATCTGCGACAAGGAGGATGGGTTTGGCAGCACCCTCTCGGTGGACGGATTTGGCGACTATCTCATGGAGAAGCTGGTGGCATTGGCGTTTGAGTTGCCGTTTAAGAACCCGGACTTTAACGTGGCAGATGCGCAGTTCCGCTTGCTAGCACAGGAGATTTCCGCAATGTTGAAAACGTATTATGGGGTGCGAGGGGAGGTGCTAGTGGGGTACTTGAAGGGGTACTTTGCGAGCATGGGGATCGCCGAGGGGGTGGGGGCTGAATTTATACAAGCGTTGACTGAGGGTGATGTGAAGCAGTTTAAGCAGTATTTTGTGACGTTTATTCGGAAAATGAAGCAGTAAGCTGGAGGCATGCCAGACATCACCGAAGACGCTGAACGCTTGAGGCTTTCCCAAGAAACATGAATTTCCATTCCCTGCTAATCCAATAAGTTCTAATCCCATCCAATTGCACATAAATCCATTCCCCATCCCTATTCAATGCCATGTTCGTCATTTCATGGATTCCACATTTGAGCTACTCTCTCTATTTCTCTGATGCCAACTAGTGCATCGCCAGATTATTCCCTGTACATTAGGTGAATTCACCTCCCCGCATTCCCCATAAAAGTTAATTACCCAAAAATGCATAAATTTTAATACAAGTATATATATTCATTATTCATCCATTGATTCTAAATGGTAAAAATAATTCATATAAAAAAAATCAGTATAGACTTCGTTAACACTGGAAAAGAAACTGTGACAGGGGCCATGGCCCGTCATGTGGCGTTTTAGTCCCGCAATCTCAACATTCCCATATACAAACAAGACTGACATGTTCAAGACCGCTTCAGATTTTTTTTCAATTTTTTTTTAAACAGAGCTGACAACTAGAACCCGTAGTTTCCAACTTTCGCAGATCCCCACCTGTCTTCCAATCAGTTTAACCCCGCTGCTCACCCCTCACGACTCGGGGACGGTCATTATCACGTGACCTTGCCTCCCACGAAAACCAGAGAAAATTCAGGAGATCACTCGGCCAATTAGCCGCCCAATTCCATTGAACAATCGATATCCACCACAAATTCTTAAAGCATATCCCAAGCATATTCTAAGCATATCTCAAGCATATCCTAAGCACATCCCAAGCACAGCCTTCCAAGCGATTGCTTCCAAACATACATCAATTGTCCTATCATGTCAAATATAATCGACGATCCCTCGATCATCACCATGGGCACCGGCTACGCCAGTGCCGAATCCCACGCTGACTCCAGCGATGCCTTATCCAGGCTTCTTGACTCAGCCATTGCTAATGCTTCTGCTGAATCGGCCATTCCACTGGTGCCGATAGAACTAAATGCGGTAGAAAAGCTATCCGTGAGTCCTGTGACCGTCAAGAACCCCGCGTGTGTCTATCCCCTTGAACTTCTACTTGTGTTGAGAGAGTCGCCGTTGGTACCGGACTTGAGCCCTGAATTACCCGATGCGGACTTCTGGCGCTTTAAGGGAAAGTCCCTCGTCCAACAGTCACCCCAGCCCAAACGCGAGTGGGCCAGCAGCGTGGACCGCAGTGACCGCAACGACCGACAGAATCGCCGCTCTCGCGCCAAGGGCCGCGGCCAGACCCACGTACGCGATGAGGCCCCCGACTTGGGAGACGAGGAGGCCGAGCCCGAGTGGGATGACGTCGAGAGCAGCGGCCACGACATGAGTAAAACCGTGCAGGACTTTGAGAAGTGGCGTGCCCAGATGCGCATCAAGGAGCGCAAGCAACGCGGTGAGGACATCAACGAGGCGGAGGTGCTCCAGCACGTGGAGCAGACCGCGGCCCAGGCTGGTAGTGCTGTCGACAGCTTCTTCTCGTTCAAGTCGAGCGCCAGCGATGTGGGCGAGCCAACTAACAGTCGTTTCAGCAGTTTCTTCACCCCGGTAATGGAGTCGAACCAACTTGCTTCGCCGCTAAGCGAAGCCAAAGACGAGACTAGCGGTGAGGACTCTGGGCCTCGCCCGGGCTCACGGTTCCTTGCGATGACACAGAGACCAAGCCCAAGCCCACAACAGTCAGCCGAGACGCACGAGCCGCCTCGTGCCAACGACTCGTTCTTTCAGTCGTTGATGAAGAAGGGCAAGGATGAGGAGGCTGTTTCGTCGCCGGGCACCCCCCGCCAATCGGGCTTGATGGCTCTTTTCAACAATGGGAGCAGCTCATCGACTCCAGCACCGCATTCGCCTGTCACTCTGGCCTCGCGAACTCCAGACCAGTTTCCGGGAATTCAGCAGTTACCGAGGTCCCAGCAGTTTGTTCCTGCGATCCAAAAGGTTCAAGGCCAGAACTTACCCCCAATCCAAGCCCAAAAGTTACCCCCTGGAATATCCCAGTTGCCGCCGGGAGTCCAGTCCCAACAGTTACCTGGAATGCCTCCGGCTGGCCAGTTCCCTCAGGGAGCGCAGCAGCTACCTGGAATGCCGCCGGGTGGTCAGTTTCCACCAGGAGTCCAAGGCCAGTTTCCGTCAGGAGCCCAAGGTCAGTTCCCGCCGGGATCCCAAGGCCAGTTTCCACCAGGGGCCCAAGGCCAGTTTCCACAAGGAGCCCATGGCCAATTCCCACCGGGAATCCCAGCCCAGTTCCGGGGGCAAGGCCGTGCACAGTACCCACCACAACACCAGTTCCGCCAGGTACCATCTCATCTCCAGGGACAATCAAATCCCAACCAGCCACTGCATCTCCAGGGCCAGCCGCCTTATATGCCCCAAATGCCGATGAATTCGCAGCTAATGGGCCAGGCCCTGCCGCAGTTTCGCCAGGGCACCAACCCGAACTTTCCACCAGGGTTCATGGGTCAGTTTCAGGCCCCAAGTGGCTCGCCGCAGCAAATGCCAATGAATCTCGCCGCGGGTGGGTATCCCCCAGGCTACGCGCCACAATACTACCCAAATGGGAACCAGGGGCCTCCGGGAAACAGAACCCGTTAGACGCTTAATGAACTGTAAAGAAGGGAATGGATTAAGAGGGTAGACTAATACCCATAGGTAGAGTGTCCCACCCCCTCTTGGAGCATGACATTGCTACCGCAATACATTTAAAACTATGGAGAGTAATGAACAAGGATACAAAGATATTTCAGTGTATTTCACATTGCGGGTGGGTGACTGCGAACCAACATACCCTAACCTTACGTGTTAGCTGCTACACACACTATACTTCATCTAGATTAACACTCACTGCTTTGCAGTATTTCTCGTAATCACAAGATCAACGAAAGCTGCGACAACAAATTCAACACCTGTACATGCTCATCCGCCCCCGCGGACAACCGCTTATCCGTCTCAAACAACACTCGCGAAATCCGGCTTTTCTGATCCGGCTGTAATGAGTCGTCCAAAATCAACAAATCATGGACCTGGCTCAAAATTTGTACACTGCTCCACCCCTCGAGCATGACGTCATTGACCGTCGTGAACAACTTCTCCATGTCCTTGGCGGCGCTTGCGGCGATCAACCTTCCAATCACCTCGTCGGGGACCACTCCTGCGATTTCCAAAATCGATTTGTTGGTAATCTCCGCCACTTCATCCCCATCCAGGTGCAATCTGGTTGCAGACTGCAAAAACGTGATGGCTTTTCTTAAGTCACCGTTCGCGATGCGCAACACCTGCTCCAACACACCGGCCTCGCGGTTGACCCTCTCGGTGTCCGCGACGTGCGCGAGACGGGCCAACGCGTTAGCGTCATCCAACGGCCGGAAGCGGAACTTGGAGCACCGCGACGCTAACGGGTCGATGATACGCGTGATATAGTTGCATATGAGGCAGAAGCGTGTGACGCCGGAATACGTCTCCATCGTGCGTCTCAACGCCGATTGGGCGTCACTGGTCATCGAATCAGCCTCATCTAAAATAATGATTTTGTATGGTGGGCATGGATAGCGCGCAAGGTCGTCCGCGCTCGGGTTAGACACCGTCAAGCGGGCAAAGGTTTTCACCTTTTGCCGCACAATCAGGATACCACGCTCGTCCGACGCATTGAGCTCGAGCACGCGCGACTTGATCAAATTCGGGCCGTACAACTCCTTCGCAAGCGCTAGAACCGTTGATGTCTTCCCCGTCCCAGGCGGCCCGTAGAAAAGCATGTGCGGGAGGTTCGCAGACTGCAACGTTTTTTTCAACACCGCAACCGCGTGATCCTGCGATGCCACGTCATCGAGGTTTTTCGGGCGGTACTTTTCTACCCACGGCGTGTGCTGCGACTCGGAGGGAGTTTCAGAGGTTTGTGTAAGAATGGAGGACATTGGAGTGGGATGGGAGGGAGAGAAAGAGGAGGGGTAAGAGTTGGAAAAACGCTGAAAAACGCGTGCGCGCAAAAAAAAACTACGCGTACGGAAAAACGTTCTGTGCGCGACACGGTACCATAATGAATGATGGCAACGATGGGTAAGACCCAAGTTGAAGGTTTTGGGGTTCCAATAGGAATTAGATACTGATAAAGTTTCAATTATAGTTGTACAGTTAATAATGTATTTTGAGATAATTCGAAATATAATGTAATTGCATGTTCGTTCTAGCCATATAGAAGTGAAGTGATTATAGAGTATCTTTGCTACACTAAAATATTAAAATTAGATGTGCAATGAGGATAAAAAGTCTAGGAATAGGCCCAGACGAGTGAAAAGTCAGGTAGTATATACTTTTTTCTTTTTCGTGGAATTGCCAGGATATCTAAGAGCTATGGCTGGGAAAAGGTCGGGTAAAACAACGGTTTCTCGCTAGAGGTGCCAGACTATGCCAAAAAAATGCCAGGTGATTGCCAGTTACTCCTAGTTCACCCCAATCACACTCAACTCCAACGTCCAGACTCTCCGAATATGCACCTTAATCGAGGTCACCTCCTCCAATCCAATCACCTTGTGGTTTTCCACCGGCACATCCAATATCTCGTGGCTCCACCAGCACTTACGCGCGGGTTTGCGCCAAAACAATAACAACTTCGACGACGTATCATCTCTCTTCTTAGACCTGGATCTGTTTCTCGACACCGACCGTGATGCCTTCTCATGAGCTGAGTGCGCCAAGTGCGCAAAGCGCGACCTAGCAGTCCTAAGCGTTGATCCCTGGGAGGACATCGCCTTCAACGAAGTGGACGACACCGACGGGCTCAACGCCGGTGAGGAAATTTCGGACTCCTGATCTTGCGGATGGGTCAATCTAACCAACGCCAACGAGTTGACCACGGTCTTACCCGGCTCCATGGACCGATGGCCCCACAAGTCTTCCACAGAGTAGCCGGAGGCGCACAACATGTCCAACAAATGCTTTTCAGCCGCACCGAGTAGTTTACCGGGGACATACCCCAACCCGTCAAATACCCGGCTGTTGCCGACCAAGGTGCTGCCCGCAGCTAACTTGATCTCGCGCATCTGCTCCGCGGACAACTCGTCCTTCGGCGGTATGCAGTAGTAGTCCAAGTCCTCGCGCAACACGATGATGGACGGCTTTTCGTGGAGTACCTCCGCATCGATGGTGCCGTCCTGGTACTGATCGTGCTCGCTGTGTACCAAGTCGACGGCAGCCGCGCCAAACGCGTTCAAGATGTACTGGAAGCACTCGGGACTGAAGTTGACATATACAACATCCTCCTCTGTGAGGTTTGTAATCACGTTGCCATCAATATCGACAAACACACCGTTCGGGAAGAGACACAACAAAATGCTTTCGGGAAGACTCATGAGTTCGTCACGCGTGATCGTGAACATGGTGCCGCGGATGTTCAAGTGGATTTTTGCGTTGAATTCATCGGTTGGGATGCCGGTGTAGGCATCCGGGCTGACCTGGGTGATGATGTCTGTCATGGACGGGATTTAAAGAGAATTAAAAAAAGGTTTGGCGGTGAGAGATTTGGCAACTGAGAGGGAGTGAAGCTCTGATACTATGGTAACTTGCTATGGCTCCTGCGGAAACTTGGTGTGAAGCTTACTCTGGTTCTCTGCTGGTTGCAACGAGTAAGAGGCAGCCAGACTAGATTAATTCAATTGGATTCCTGGAAAAGGCGTATAACAATGGGTGTCACAGACGGAATATGGAGAAAGAACGGCTGGTGTATCGGTATCAAATCCCTTGCGTTTATCCCGGCGTGTTCCCGTTGAAAAACTGCCTGGTGAGGGCACGCAGAACGTACGGCTCTAAACTAGGAAATGTGGGTGGTTTTGCTTTTTACAAAGAATATCCTTGGGAAGCCTAGTTATTATTTGTGGTTTGGTATTGATCTGACCCGTATTTCTTTCTCTACCCATTGGTAGCGCCCTGCCTTTACCGTGTCTCTGTGTGTTCACCACCTATCCGCTCTGGCCCTTTGTCTCCCGGCCATCTCTGGTGGTAAACTTTGCATCACGTGCGTGTACTCTGTCACAGGCAATGACTAATCCTGAAGGCTAGCCCGTTCACAAAATCGGGACCTCAAGGTAAAACTATTTGCACCGCATATTCCAGAAATTCACTTCCAATTACAACCATTACTATGTCTTGCCACGGATCTTGTTGCATGCAAGGGGGGGACGAAAGCGACTTCTCGGACGATGATGTGTGGGCTGGCGATGAAGCCAAGGTTGTGCCCGCGCAGGTGGACACCAAGGAGCAGTATGGGGCGATTCCAGAGGAAGCCGAACATGTGGACACCTCGTACTTGAGGAGGAAGCATGCCAAACAGGGCTATGTCGACGGACTAGCTAACGCGAAAGAGGGCAGCTTGCAGACCGGCTTTGACAACGGCTACGGGCAGGGTGCTGCTCTTGGCGAGAAGGCTGGCGAGATCTTGAGCACCTTGAGGCAATTATCGCTAGCCGGAAACACAAAGGCTGGCGAACTTTTTGAGACGGCCAAGGCGGAGTTGAACATCCAGAACGTGCTTTCCGTGGCGTACTTTGACGACAATCTTGACCTCGAGGCGCAGCACAAGGTTATTCAGAAATGGGAAGAGGCGGTGGATAAAGTGAGTCAATAGAATATGGGTATAATGAAAGGTAATGAATAGATGTGGATCTGTAGAGAGTGAGGTGTGAGCTGAATGTGGGATATGTGGATGTTGAGGAATTATCTGATATATAGCTGATGAGATATGAGGATATATATTGTGACTTGTGGCTGTTACATTAATGGTGGGCAAACCGCAATTACCTTATAGAGCCTTATTGCAAGGATTGTAAAGTGCTGGGTCACGGAAGATATACATAATGATGCCTTAAATTTTCCTGGAAACAATTTCACAGACAATATCGGTGGAGTATTTAATAATCTATCCTGGGACAGATAAGCTAAGTGAGGGGTTAGCTACTCAGTTCACGTTTAGATAGGCTGATGGACTGTGTTTTATAGTGCGATCCTTCGGCAGCAATTAATATCGGATAAAGCTGACAAGTTATTCAAAGTACAACGGACGCTACCGCCTCTTTTCAATGAATGTATTACGAGCATGTCGGGAATAATAGACTTATATACAAGGGGCAAACTGAGAACGTCTTCTAGTTCTTGCTGGCTTCGTACTCCTTCTTCAATCTGGTCAACTCCTCTTCGGAGATTGGTGGGATCGGAACGTCGGCAAAATCATCCTGATGAAGGAAGTTGAACGTGTAGGCGTAAATACCAACGGGGATGCTTCCGACAATGAACAAACCGGCGAGGTTCTTCCAGAAATATGGTCTTCTGGCTCGCAACATTGAAGGCGTCATTCTGAACGTCTTCCGGTCATAGTAAGAGTTTTGCTTGCTGACAGGGTTAGTACATGCATAGACGGGCATAAAACGGAAATACCTACTAGTTGTAACCGTTAGGAGAAGACATTATGTGTGGTTGTGGTCTTAGTGGTAGAGCTGAGCTCAGAGACTTTCTTGATAAACTCGCCTGACAAACGAAAACCTGAGCAACACAAAGCGACTTACATGTGATGTGTCACGTGATGGGAAATTTTGGTCTCATCACATTGATTGTGGAGGACGATGCTGAAGATGTTAGATATACTCCAAGGGACAAAAAAGCAAGGACTTTGTATTTCTTTAGAGAGCATAAAATTGATATGCCGATGGTCTTCGGACGTCATATCTATCCGGACTTTCAATTCGAAGTATGCAAGCTCCCCACTGGAAAAAAAATAAAATGCGAATTAAACCCTCAAAGCCTCAACTCTCAAAGCTTCAACTTTCAGCTTCAACTTTCAGCTTCAACTTTCAACCTTAGATTGTTTCAATCTGGTTAGACGGCAAAAGTATTTTATCCGAACCCCCACAGATCCACAATCGCATAGATTGGTCGCTACGAAATTGCACCAGACACTCACTCTACTCACAAAACTACACACCTGCGTCACGTGCATACGCATCTCAAATTTTTATTTTTTCTGCCTGAAATTTTTCAGTACTTAACCAAACTAGTCTGCTCTACCCTCTTGCCATTCCAATCTACACCATGATTGATCCCAAGAACAAAGAGAACATCCCGATTCCACCTAAGGATGAGGAAGAGTTGGCATTGGAAAAGTTGGTGTTCGGCGACTTGGAAGGCTTCGAGGCCAACCTCAAAAAGATCGACAACTTGTACGACTTTGAGGACGATTCCGACGTGGAAGAAGAGATAGAGTCCGGTGATTCCGATGCAGAAGACTACTCCAAGCTCAACGATGACCAGTTGTTCTTCGTGGACGAGGGCGAAAATGCTGATGATACTATGGATGTGGATGAGAGCTCTGAAGAAGAGTCGAATGAAGAGTCGGACGACGCCTGGAACGACAGTGACGACGACAAGATCAACATCTCGCTCATTGCATCGCACAGAACCAAGAAATTGAGAACGTCCGAATCTGAGGCGTACGTCAGCGGGAAGTCGTACGTCACCAGATTGAGATCGCAGTTTGAAAAGATCTACCCGAAGCCGGGATGGGTGGCGACGCTCGCCGAAGAACCAGCGTCCGATGCGTCCGACGTGGAAGACGAGCTTGAGAACAACACCAACTCCTTGTTGAAGGTCCTCTCAACCACCGCCGCATACAACGATACCGGGGCCAAACTTACCAAGCTCCTCGCACCGAATAAGATCGATATTGTGCGTTTGAAGGACGCCAACCAGTCACATCCGTCGCGGGCCGCGATCCAGACCATATCGTTCCATCCGTCGCATCCACTCATGTTGACTGGTGGCTACGACCGTACATTGCGCATCTACCACATCGATGGCAAGGTTAACAACGTGGTGACGACACTCCATCTCAGGGATGCGCCAGTTCAGACCGCTCAGTTCCATCCAAACGGAGGCACCAAGATCTTCAGTGGTGGTAGAAGAAAGTATTTACACAAGTGGGACTTGGAATCTGGTGCGGTTGAGAAGATTAGCAGAATGTACGGCCACGAAAACACTCAAAGATCCATGGAGTACTTTAAGATCTCGCCGAAGCACGGCAAATATATCGCCTTGACCGGTAACAGCGGCTGGTGCAATATCTTGTCTGGGAGTACCGGACAGTGGATCAACGGTTTCAAGATCGAGGGCAACTTGGTCGATATTGCCTTCTCGGCCGATGAATCCTCTATCTTTGTCGTTAGTCACACCGGTGAAATCTGGCAATGGGACATCGAGAATAACAAGATCGCCAGTAAATGGACCGATGAGACGGGTGTGGGTATCACCAAGATCCAGGTCGGTGGAAAGGGCGACAGGTGGGTTGCCGTGGGCTCCAATAGTGGTATTGTTACCGTCTACGACAGAACCAAGGGTGTCAAGAAGCCCATCGGTGTGATTGAGAACTTGACCACCACTATCTCCTCCTTGGAATTTTCACCAGACGGTCAGGTCTTGTGTATCGCTAGTAGATCCAAAAAGGACGCCTTGAAGTTGGTCCATCTTCCAAGTTGCACCGTCTTCTCTAACTGGCCAACGATGGCCACCCCGTTGGGCAAGGTCACCGCGATCGCCTTCAGTAATGGTGGCGAGATGCTCTGCATTGGTAACGAAGCCGGGAAGGCTCGGTTGTACAAATTGAATCACTACTAGGGTTGTAGGCCACAGGTCTGTGTATATTAATGTTTGATTAGAAGATGGGTCTAAGCGTAGAAAGTTTTAAGGTGTGCCGCACGCAGTGTTACTAAGATAAATCGAATATCTCTCTAATCTTTCAAGCCATTATTGAATCGCTTGGTACAATTATGTTACAAACTCTCCACCGCGTGACCCTGGCTGCCAGTGCGCGCGCGCCTGCGCTCGCTCCTGTTGCCAGGCAAAATTTTCTCCCGCACGACCTCTACCGATCTGATCTCAAACACGACTCTTTAAATCCCCAGGCTAAACTAAACCAAGGGCACTGCGCATACCTCCTAGAACCCCACGACCTACCGGACCCAGAGACTATAAAGGTTTAACCACCAGCTTTATACACGCTCACCATAACCTAGCTCACTCACCAAGGCTACAACTAGCTGCCTATGCCCTTGGAGAGACCACAAAAAATCACCTCATAGAGAACGCTTGCAGTTTAGCAAGTCTGATCAGCTAAATACCCTTAGCTACCTCAAGCACTGCCCAGAGGTGCTCACCCCTTACATGGAAACCCACGAGAGTTTCATGCTACATCCACCATCGCAGCCGCCGCCGCTCCTTCCGGCAGCTGGCGCAGAAAGTCGCCCCGACACATCTAGCCGCGCTGCAAAGCGCATGGGCTACATCAGGCCCAAGCCCGAGGCCGAATATCTGCTGTCGGAGTCGGAAGCGAGCTCTGAACAAAAGTTTGTGCAATCGGAGTCGAGGGCAAAGTACCAACATACCGAGCCGAAGGCGAAATACGACACGGCTGTCCCTATGCGATCCGAGCAAGCTCCCCTTATGGCCTCTGACACTATGCCTATTCAGATGCTTAGATCAGATTCTATGCCCATCCCTGCCATGTCTATCCCCTCCATGCCTACCCCTTCCCCTGTTTCCGTTAGATCCGATTCCACTGCCAAATCTGCCAAACCTCTCCCCAAGGCTCCTGAGTCTGTGACCCCCGTCAAACCTACTTTCTACATTAACCCTGCCCCCAAATCTGCGGCTGCGGCTGCGGCAACACTTGGAGCTGCGGCTGCTGCGGTGACACCTACGCCCGGGGCGACGGCAGCGCGCCGCTCCCGCTCCAACACCTTTCACACTCAACTCGACTCCATCCTCGACACCAGCAACAACAATGTCGATGTCGAACACAAATCTGGGGCGTACTTCCGCCGCCTCCTGATTCTCCCCGAAACGACGCCCGCGGCTACGCAGTTCCGCCTCGTGGACGTTTCCCGCAAGATCCTCTTTGCCTTCCTGGAGCTCCACTCGTCGCTCCGTCGCTTCACCGGTTTCTGTGTCGACAAGAAGCTCACGATGCGGATGGTAGCAATGTTGTACCTGACCAAGACTGAGGTTGACCACTTGGTGGAGTGTCTCGAGTCGCTCGAAGATGGGCGTGTGGACAGTGCGGTGACGGACCGCATCTTGCGCGCGACCGTCTCGGCGATCCAGGCGTTTCGCAGCGTGATCGGGGTCCTCCAGACGGGACTTGCGGCGTTTGTCGAGGCGACGGACGCGTGCTTTATTCGGATGTTTATTCTCACAGTATACGGCTCGTATGCGGAAATTTGCAATGCATATAGATTGTTAAACCCAGCAGCGGGAGGCGGGGCCACAGGCCAGGCAAGAGTGGTTCCGGCTCCCGCCACCACCTCGGACGCCGACACCCGCCTCTACGAATCCCTCGCTCATGCCACTGCCTCCGCCCAGACCGTCTTTACCCAGCTCACCGAATCCATTGGAAAATCTGCTATCGCATCCGCAACCGCACCTGATGCGCACCAGATCAACAGCGTGGCTGCCGCGAAGATACGCGAGCTTACCAATGCATCGGTTACAGCGATAAGCATCACCAAAAAGGTCTCCACGCGCCTCGAGACCATCCGCGAGACGAGTGGCCCCGAAAAACGACGCGTCTGGGAGGATATTAACTTGTTCCTTAAGGCCGTGATCAACATTCTCGCCACGTCTCGCTCTGCCTTCCATGACCTCCCAGTGTTGAATGACATTCGTCCTAGTATGGCTGCCTTGACCAAGGCGACAAAGGACGTGACGTTGGCGCTTGAGGTGTCGTCGTACAAGTCGGGGGCAACGAATCCGCCGCCGCTCTTGACGGTGCCGTCCGTCGTGAACATGTTTAGCCCGAATACAAGCATCGGGCCCAGCACACCGACGACGCCAATGATTGCGGCGTTGGGTCCTGCAGCGCTGGCCGTGTTACCAGCACAGAGCCCGGGGGTATACCCAAATCCGTTTGAGGGATTGAAGATTAACAGTAGCCAGTAATGGCGAGATCTAGTAATTAGTAAGGAAAATTATGAGCATATGAATATATTAGAAGCATATCATTTATCGCGTACACAATTGGCCGTATTGTGTAATATAATGATGAGTGTGATTATGCATGGTTAATTATACCTGGGTAGTAATTCTAATTGCGCTATCATATATATCTATCTAGTGTTAGTTTTGTATTACACCCTTTCCGATTACCACAGATTCATGGGACTACTGCTCTTGGTACTAATATTTTTTGATCTAATCGATGACGGAATTAGGGTGTATAACCTGTTGCTCATGGGTTTGTTTTAGTTTACCTAAGTAAGTGTACTTGGGTCATATCCATGCAAAACTCCCCTACCCTTTTCCCACTCACACTCTACATTTGACCAACATTACGTGTGAAACAGAGTTCTGAACTGCACTCTCTCTCCTGATTCACTCCATAAACTGGCACCTCGAGTATTGTCCGCCAGTCCTGACAACCCCTAAAACCCGTACCTGTCCTTGCTATTCTGCATCTTTTGGCGCTGTGCCTCAAAATCCTTCTCCAATTTCTCCCTGTTGGCGTTACCGATCCTCACCAAGTTTGACAACTGGTTCTTCCCATGGGACTGCTTCAACGGTGTATCAGCCTCCTTCAACTCGCCTGCCTCTTTCAAGCGCTGGTTCTCCTGGTAAAACTCATTCACGTTGAACTCCTGGATATCCGTAGGAATTACCTCTCTCCCATGTGTGTGCACTTTATCGAGCTCTGGCTCGACATCAGAAACAGTGTACACAGGGTTGGAGATAACAACCGGCGCAAAATCACTTACTAGCCGCCTCTTTACAGCGGGCTTACTCGTGGAAAAAGTGTCAGCTAGACGTTTTCCTTGGTTCAAAGGGGTCAGGCTAGGGCTGGCTGTCTTAACAGTTTTTGATCTGAGCGAGCTGGGTACGAAAAACGTAGTCTTTTTGGTGGAGACAGAAATGACGACGTCGTTTTTCAAGGTGAATGCAGCGTCATTCACAGTATTTTTTACTGCACCACCCAAGACCCGCAGCACAGGGGTAGACCGATCCAGGCTAGCATCAACAGCTGTGACGGCTGGGAGTTTTGGAAGTGCTGGAAGAGTTGGTAATGGGGCTGGTAGCGCTGGTAGTTCAATCGGTGGTTCGGTTTCCTCCTCCGAGGACGAGTATCCATTAAGCAAATCCATGTTGTGAGTAATTTATGTGAGGTTGAGATTGGTTGGGTATGCTTGCACAAGCAATAACAGGCGAGATTTTCTTGGACAGGATAGAGTAAACTGGTTAAATCTTCATGGACAAGGTCAGAGTAGACTGAATAAATCATTACGATCATGCAGGACACACATAATTTAATATTTGAGCGAGCCGGAATAGACGCCACAGCATTGGCGCATTAGCCTCTGTGAGTCTACGCCACAGCGTACCTTTTCCTGTAACTTGCTCACCTTATCTTGGTATGCCATTATCGCCGAAGATGCACCCGGCTCTTACCAATACCTTCCCAGACCTATAAGCCGCGCTAAATAATCGTTTAGCTCTCAACTGCCATACATCACCCTTCACAGTTTCAATGCTCAACGCCCAGAGGGTCTCATGGTGTTTCAACCGCACCATGTCGGTTTCCCCGGTGTACTCAAACGTCACCTGGCCGACCAACGCAAACCCATCGCCATACGAAATTATGAACATCCCTCGCACCGACTTTAACAAGATAACGCTCAAAAAAAACTATGTACGCTTTGCAAAGCTCTACCACCCTGACCTTTCACGCGCGCGGGAGATCCAGCACCACACGGGGAGGGTGCTCGACCAGAGGACGAAGGATGAGCGGTTCAAGATCATCACCAATGCGTATCACCTCTTGCGCGACGAGCGGAAAAAGCGACAGTACGATCTATATTCTATCGGCTGGGCCGAAGCTTCATATCAGACACGGCCTCATAGCACAGCTGGCTATTCAAAAGCACAGGACGCAAAGTACTGGAACGCGGGTAACTGGGACGACTACCGCAAGGCGGAGGGGCCGCGCGTGGATCCCGCGGCAGCCAGAGCCGAAAACATGAAGATGGTGTATCTTTTGCTAGCAGCCGCTCTCGTGAGCTGCGCGGCGCAGATCCTCGTGGCGCAACGCGACGTCGAAGACGCACTGCGCTTGGCATGGGAAATGGAGAAGTTTGCGCGTTCGGATCTCCGTGAGGCACGCGACAACTACGGCTATGGCTTGGAGCGGGACGAGCGAATCAGTCGTTTCTTGGGGCATAGGCGATTTAACAACCATGGAAACCGGACTTCCGCGTTGATGGAAGCTGAGACTGAGGACTTGAAGGTTTTAGATGAACTCAAAATGTGATGCTTTTCGTCATGCAGTATTCCGTTTATGATTGC